GAAGATTAAAAAGCTCCTTACCATAGCCTGTACAACCATCAATGCAGGGAAATAGACATAGACTAGACTACCAAAACACTTATTACCTGCCATTATTTATTGTAATGGGTCTCACTTATGATATATGTCAATTTGTTCATTGGGAGTGGGGCTGGTGGACCCACTTGACAAAAATGTCCTGCCAACTGCACCCCAGCTTTCATTTTCTTTTGTCGCCCTTGGAAAAAGATGGGAGCTACTTGAAATATTCATGTCTTCGGGGATAATATTCGCATCCTCTTTGGTAATGTACGCCTTGGGAGAGACATGTCGAGACCCACTATATGCTATCAAGCAAGCACGGAGACCGAATACCATAAATAATAATACACGCACAGGCCGAATATCATACAAGAAATCCTTTACGCCGAGCAATAATGAGATGTCTCATTGAAGGGCCAAATAATAGAATCCCAAATATAATTATAAGATGTCGTTGGAGAAAGACGAATCTTATATAAGACAACCATAGTTGGTTCATACCTATCTAAAGAAACAATAATATCCAAGTCTAAAAGAGGATGACCACAATCAAATCCGAGGGATGAGTATAATTGAATCCTGAGTACGATAAGTAATTATCGGGTCATAAATGAGACGATCATGAGACACTGTCCAAGCCAAATATGTCCGGCAGATATCAATAATAGATGTTGTTGATCCTTTGATTAGAGACCACATAACTTTAGCCTCCAAAGATAAACCAAATGAGTCCAAGGCAGGATCGAATAAATTTGATTCTTGATTGACTGAATACACTGTGTCCCCACAACATGACCGAACTATCTTGATCTCTGAGAGAAGGTCTCTATGTAGAAAGCCTCAATACGTGAGTTTCTTGACGAGGGACTTGATAAAGAGACCTTGAACACATCTATCCCTTGAGGTAGAGTAATAATGAAGTCCTTTACTGAACGGCTCAAGGAATATCGAAGATAGTTTTTTAATGTCTGCTAGAGAGATTTACATCCCGAATAGAATACCCATAGGTGCTCCATATCCAACTCCAACGAAGATAACAATATCAGAACCCCAAGGAGGGTTACTAAATCGAATGCAACAAACGTCGAGCATGAACGAGCCTAAAGAGAACAATAATAGTTGGCCCTTAGAAGAAGGACCAAATAACCTTGAATCTTGAGAAAGATCAAAATAAATATATCCTTGTAGAGAAATACCGAATACACCGGATCCTCTGAAGAGGGACCGAATAATCTTGGCTCTTTTAGAATACCCATAAAATAAGGCCCGAACATATCTGTCCCTTGGTCTCGACAGTCCCAAGTTTGATGGTCAACTGGGCGTTGACTCTTGCCCTTTCTTATCATGTTCAATTGACATTTAATTGAAATAAATAAAAGCGTACCTTGTCGAATTGAATCTTGATTTCTAAGCTCATAACATCATGAAAATGCACCCCTCGGGGCCATGCCTCTAATGATCTGAGTGCAAGGCTTTTTAAACTTTTGAGGGCGTTGCTTCGAGTGTGGAGTCTTACACCCCTCGGGGTTGTACCCCTAACGACCAAGCGCTAGGCTCGTGTTGAATTTTGAGGGCGTTGCTCCAAGGGTGGAGTCTTACACCCCTCGGGGCCATGCCCCTAACGACCAAACGCCAGGCTCGTGTTGAACTTTGAGGGTGTTGCTCCAAGGGTGGAGTCTTACACCCCTCGGGGCTATGCCCCTAACGACCGAGCGCAAATCTCGTGTTACCTCCCTAAGCAAAGAGTACTCCCAAATTCAGATTTTTGAACCCATCCTTGAGAGGTTTTATGCCTACATCAGGACTTTTGGTGCTTTGGCCGAGCAAAGGCTTACCCGTTTCTAGGACCCAGAGCCCACATTGTGTCCCCCATTATCATGCTTGTGATATCACTCAACAATAGTTCTTGGTTGCTCGGTGAGAGAAAACCAGTTATGGATTGACCAACCACTTTTAAGAAGTTGCAATGACCATCCTCTTGGTGATGTAATAACCATTTCTTAATGAGAGCCTGAAAACATTACAAGCCAATCATGTCATTTGAGGAGTTGGCTTGGTTCTCCCACTTTCTTGACATGATTCATGCCTTTAGTGAACTATCATGTGTCAAATTCTGTGTCTAAAGCCCCTTTGCATTCGTGCTTGGTGCACTGAAGTCAATGGGCCTTGCGTTAAGATCGTTATGGTTGGTTCTTCATTGTTGATAACCACTTCATTGTCTTCTAAAGAATTAGAGATCGAGTGCAACATTGGTCAAAAGAATCATAGCAATCCTCAATGATAGTTCGACAGCCCATAGACGAAAAACTGAACACCTTTTGGTCGCCACACTTTATGACATTCGGGTGTAAGAACCTACTGAGTCAAGTAGTTGATTTGGGCTTTCATGTATTGTGATATCCTCGGCGTGGTTTGTAAGAATCACCTTTGCTAAAGTGAGTTCAAGAAATAGTTCTGCTCGTAGTTTTCTTGGTGACTATGATTGAAACCCAAATACGGTGTTGTCCTTTGTAAAGAACACTCAAGGGAAAGACCAAACAATGTCTCTTTTTCATAGGTGAGGCCGACCACCTTGGAAACTCAACTTCTAGATTTCCTTGTGTGGACCAAATGCCCCGAGACCATTGTCACTTTGGGATATGCCCCCCCACCATCGGGCTAGCTAGATCAAACGACACCAAATTTACTTCGGGCAGCGCGGATCTTTTGTTCGCCTGTTGTTTGTGATCGGGCTTTGCTAGCGTTTTTAATATTGTATTGTGTGCCGATCGTTGCGGATGTGGTGTTGCCTTTCTTGCATCAAAGACAACCTCCTCAGGAATCATGTCATTGTCCTTGTAGGCTTGGGGGCATCACCGAAGGTTCGTTTCGGCCTTAGCTTTCTCTGGGTGGGAATCGCTTCGTGACAATGCCCACTAGAATTTTTTATTTTCATGGGCCCTCATTTACTTGGGCTTGTAGTGGAAATAGAACCCATTTATTTTGACAAATGGTGGCTCGGATAGATGAGCTAGTCGATCTCGAGATGTTGAACCACGCCCCGAGTGATTTGCCAACCCCCTTCCTTCTTAGTTACAACGACTGACTTTTGGTTTGTTTCTATGGCAAAAGGCAAACATAAAAAAAAAACAATTTGACCCCATAATTCTTCGGGGTAGTATCCAAGAGTTCCACGGGTGGCCGGACATAGTTGCCATGCCAAGACATGTATCCCATAATTTCTCTATTATATGTACAGGCGCATTTTAAGAAACAAATATGGGAAACAATCATATACATCATTAAGTAACGAAAAAAGTATTATTCGAACTCGGTTGAAACATGTGAGAAATGCACTTATCTTTGGATTCATCAAATTCGATCGGCAAATATAGATGACGAGCAGCTGCTTGTAGATTCTTGCGACATCTTGTAATGACAATGACATCCTAAATATGCTCACTGCCGAGGCCTGACCCTCCTTCATGGGTAGAGATAACTTTGGTAGAAGAGCATCACTCATAAAAGTCCAAACACTGGTCCATGGTTTGAGGGCGACATGCTTCTTTGAATCTCAAACTTCTCGCTGTCTACATAGCAGAGAGACACTTCGAGCGATTATCAGTGAGTAGGTGCTCGAGTCCACTGCTGGGTAATGTACCGACCAAGCACATGGATTTTCTAAGTCTGAGCAATTGAATAACTTGTCACGAGCCGAGTGGATTTTAAGTAGTATAAGCCTAAGACCTTCTCACTCCCATAAACACTCATTCTTTGACTCGATTGGTCAAGACCACCTTGGGTTCAGACTTTGCAACAACCCCATAACGATAGGCGAAGATGACTTTCACGGTGAGTGATGTGTAGTTTGTTCATAACGCCGAACCATCTATAAGCTTGTAGCTGTGTCAAGTACTGTACTGCAACTCTACACCAGTGTGTCGATAAACATGCCACGATGCTTGATTGAATGTCCAAAGGAACGGCTCCTTGAGGGAGAGAGTTGCAGGCTAATTAGTTTGAAGGACTTTGGGGGAGGTCGTTCTTTCATGATGATATTGAGCCCTTCTGGATTTTCGGAGGTGAGACCGATCACTACTTAGTGAAGCCAGGTCAACCAAAATCCTTCCGTGGGGAGAGGACATCCCAAACGCGCGGATAAATCCCCTATAGACCCAATTTATATATATTCGGGTTGAAGACGATTAGGAATTCGGGTTGAGTCCAATTTATATATTCTTGTTGAACATGATAACCCGAGGTCTCAACCCGGGTACTGCCCGAATTCAACGTGGGTTGATGTTTTTCTGCCCAAACTCAACTCAAGCCCATTTTTTGTGGGTTGAATTCGAATTAAATTTGAGGGAGCCTATAGCAGTCTCAGTGATTTATAAGAAAAGGAAGTACGAAAATTAATTTTAGTACTGAACGTTTTGGATACGCAGAACTTAAGTATTAATGTAACTCTAACATATGGTGAACATTTTTATCCTCTATCATCAGACACAAATCAAAGGCATGCAAGAGAAGGGTTGACAGAATCGATGGAGTCGTATCAGACTTAGATAGTTTTTTTTTTTTGGCAAAAAGACTTAGATAGTTTATGTTCCAATAATGTGCCACTTTCTGTGTAGATTACGAGTTTTACTCGATTCATAAGTGCAACCACATTGAATGCCACGCGGTTTTGGTGAGGGAGAAGAGGCACAGACACAGCTGACTTTAGCTAGCCATGGAGTAAATGCTCTTGCTGTGACCTTTGACCCTTCGGGTATCCTTTTGCTTCTTTTAGGTCAGCGTACTTCTCACACATCTTAGATTTCTTATTTCCATTCTATAAAAGAAAACCTTTTCCTTAGACCCTTGTCTTCTCAGGCTTTTCTAAGAAGAAACAAAGAGGCGAAGCAAAATAAATAAAGCCATAGAGAAGAATAGGAACATACAATTGGGTACAGAGGAGCTACGGAGACTCATAGGAGAGAGAAATAAGCTAACGGCATATGGGTCGACCGCCATGCTGTGATAAAGTGGGAGTGAAGAAAGGTCCATGGACTCCTGAGGAAGACATAATGTTAGTCACATACATTCAAGAACATGGTCCTGGGAATTGGAGGGCTGTTCCTACTACTACAGGTCACAAATCTCTCTTCTGAATAGTTTCGCATTTTAATTTTTGTTTGTATTGTTTTTGATTTGATGATTTTATTCAATAATGGCCTTCTTTCTATTGCATCAATTGCACTGTGTTGGGTTAGATTTAATGTGCAAAAGATCACTCAAGTTGTCTTTTTTCTATGTGGTTCTTTCAGGGTTGAGTAGATGCAGTAAGAGCTGTAGGCTTAGGTGGGCTAATTACCTTAGGCCCGGGATTAAAAGGGGTAACTTCACAGATGATGAGGAGAAAATGATAATCGAGCTTCAAGCCCTTTTGGGCAACAAGTAATCTCTCTCTCTCTCTCTCTATGATGTGATTCCTGCAAGTATTCATGTATTGTAAGATAGGGCAACAGAAACTTCGTTAAATGTTATTGTCCCACATCCCTAAATGATGTCATATATATCTTTGCTTCAGATGGGCTGCAATAGCTTCTTATCTACCAGAGAGAACAGACAATGACATTAAAAACTATTGGAATACCCATATGAAGAAGAAGCTCAGAAAGCTTCAAACTGGCTCCAATGATCACTCTGAAGATGGATTATCAAGTACTTCTCACTCAATTTCCAGAGGTCAGTGGGAGAGGAGGCTCCAAACTGATGTCCACACTGCCAAACGAGCCCTAAATAATGCCTTGTCACTGGACAACCCGAGCCTTGTACCTGAACTGAAGCCCTCTAATGGGTATTACTGTTATAATAAACCAAGCCAAGCATGTGCCTATGCATCAAACACTGAGAACATTGCTAGATTGCTCCAAGGATGGATGAAGCCAAAGGCTGAGAAAATTATATCTTCAAGTACTCAGCTTTCCATCGATAATGGTGTGACTGATTCTATGTCCAGTGAGGCATTTAAATCGCGGTTTGGTTTTGAGTCTTTTGACTCCTCAAATTCTGATTTTTCTCAATCTTTGTCTCCTGAGGCTAGTCTCTTCCAAGGTGAAAGCAAACCAGATCCCACTGCCATTGAATTTGGACGATTGTCCATGCTTGAGAATTGGTTGTTTGATGAAGGTGTTGTTCAAGGGAAAGAAGATTTGATTGACTTCTCATTTGATGAAACTACAAATTTGTTTTAGATAAATATGATTATTATTACTGAGATTTTGTGACCGATTGTATCTTTTCTTTCTTTTTAATTCCAGCCCTTAACAATTCAATTACATGAATGTTTTATACTCCATGGCCTGATAGGAATTACCTTGTCTCTTTAATTAGTGTTAAACAGATAGGAAATGGCACATTGTTAGGCTAATTAATTGATTTGGAATGTTAAATTATAAGAACTTTGGGCTATTTGAAACCTTCAAATTATCTGCTGACAAAAAAGAAGATGACATTCAAATTATCTGAGATTCATCATGGCCATTATTTCTCTCTTCAGTCTACAGCAATCTGAAAAGCCAAGTTGAAACTTGAGACCAAGGCTTATCCATGTATATAATTACTGGCGTCCAACAAGTGGTTACAGGAACGGGGGCTGTGAGCTGTAAACTCAGACTTTATAAGTTTAGTTTTTGCAATCTCTTGAAGTTAGATCTTAAGGGATTTAACCCTCATAAATATCTTAATTTTGATGTGAATAACTTATTTTTTATCAGACTGGGAAAGGAATTAATTAAGATGTGCGTATGCTGGCTTGAACACCTCTAACCAAAGACTTATGCATAACATTGACAAGAAAAGAAAGTGCCAGTCTTAGTAATTCTTATAATGTTCCAAACTTGTAAATTGAAATGAAAATAAGGACTATAAGCCCAACCATGATGGTTTAACATCGAGAGGAATGCTATTGAGATAAAAAAATTTGATTTAGTTTGTTGATTTAATAATATGTTAGTTGACATTGCCCAGTAGTATTATTATAACTATAAATGTAAAACTTTTTCATCGAAATCATATCAATTAACATATTATTAGATCGCCAAAGTAAATACGTTTTTTAGGTCAAAAAAGGATTACTCAAACATCAAATAGGCCAGAGAAGGATCGTACCCCATGCGTTAGGGAATGGGGAGGATCTGCACTAGCCTTCCATCATATTGGAGGATTTCGAAACGATCAAATACACACAATCTTGTCTTGCATACAAAAAACTGATGATATTACTATATCACATGACATATGCTTGGTTTTCTCAAGAGGAACTTGCTCTCGCACTTTCTCCCTGGTGACCCCCTTTTTTTTTTTTTATTAAAATTGTGGAAAATATGTGGGCAGGAATTGCCTTGAAATCGGTAGGTTAGTCTTTAAGGCGTACATGTGAAGTGTTTTGATTCCTCTACAACTAGCACTAGTTCGATGCTGAACATGCGGCTAATCCGTACTGTAAAGGCGTCGGAAGAACATAAGCATTTCATGAAATACCATGTCCAAGACAGTCCCTTTGGCCAGATAACTTAAATGATTTTTCAATATTCTTTCGACAACTCAAACGCGCATTGAGTGTGCAATATGACAAGGCTCGAGGAATCGATCCTATGATTTTTCAATATACATCTATATATATATACACACGATTACTTTGTGGGAATTGCACAATTTTACTAACTTCTCCATGTTAAGATCGGACAGGACTCAGAAATAATGGGGCTGAAATCGAATTTGCCTCGTTATGTAGCAAATAATGCTAAGTCTAATTTCGGGTACTGATTTTTCATTCACAAGTAAATATTCAGTGTAATAGTGACATCACATCATCATTGTAACATGGTGTCATCGTATAATAATAAACTTGATGAGATGTTGGACCAAAGCAGCCGATTACCATGGTTTATGTAGTCTAGGGATTCAATTTAGACAATTGAAAGTTGACGAGGCATTTAGCGTCGGGGGCATAATTGGGATGGTATCTATGATACTTACCCAAGTTTTTTTCATTGGGTATATTATGGGCCAGCATTCAAAACCTGTCGTGTATGAGAAATCATCCTCCGTAAGTGTTCAGTGAGTTTTGGCCCAAACAGTAACATGGCGGAGGAGCCTCATAGGCTCAAGGCCCAGCCTTTTCACCCTACTCCTACGCTGGTAAGGAGCTCGGACACTCAATCTAGTTCTAGTAAAAGAACCGACGACGACAACGAGTCACCGGGTCAATGGATCACTCCATTAGGTAAATCGACTAGTCAATCAAGCAGGCCTTGATTGATTTGTTGCAAAAATGATCTAATATTGATCCAATCTGTTTTATGCACTGAATCACTAAGTTATTAGGTCAGATCGAATTTAACAACGCTGATATTAAGTGTTCTTTTTATTTTTGGGCATGAGTACATAGTGTTGATGGTGGGGTAGGGAAAAGAAATTGTGCAGGTTTTGATTTCTGCATATATAAATATGCAAGAAGAAACTTTGTTATTACCGCTCAACAACCTATTAGGTGAGTTTTTCGTTGTATCAAGAATTATATTGACTCATTAGGGGAACCTCGTGCCTAAATGCACGATACAGTTAAAAAAAAAAAAAAGAGTGGCTTCTCGAGTGACGGGTGAAGTGAGGGAGGATGAGATGGATTTTGGGGAGAAAATATGTGAGAGATAAAAAATATAGATATATGCTGTCACGGTTTTACAGTCCAGAGGATTAATCTGGTAGGTGAAAAACTGTCTAATTCTTTATGAGTACGCTTGTATAACACCACTTGCTCAACCGATGTTCGATACATTGCATTCTCCTCCGCCCGAAGATGTGATGCCCTTGTTACATCACTGAAGAGGATGGGCCCACCTGGCCAGCTAAGTAGGTGTCCATACATCTACTTTAAGAATGAAGTTGTAAAAGCGTCTCTCACACAGTGATTATGCAAAATACCATGAAGTCATGTAAGTCAAGTTGCATCAATCAACAATAGATTTCCTTGTTTAAGTAAACATTTCCATTTCATTTTGCACATAGAGAATGTGATTAATTAGTGTCTTGTTTTGGTGATTTTTTTTATGTCAATTTCATCACAAATGCTAAAGGAAAAAGTGTTTTTTAAGAGCCTAAGATACTTTTGAAATGGTCCCCAAAGCCAATAACCCTAAGCTTTTTCTTCTGTGGGATTCACAATCAGGGTTGGGTTGTTGAGAAGCAAAATGCCTCATCTTTCATTATCCTCCTGTAAACACAATCATTATGTACATTAGGTCCTTGTCAAATCCCCAAATCTACTATCAATGGTGGTTAATTGCCTTCTTTTCTTTAGTTAAACAGATTAACTCTCTCTCTCTCTCTCTCTCACGAGCCCACACACACACACACACACACACGAGCCCACACACATACATTTCATTATTTGGGACAAGGTGTTCAACCGAATTGTTCTAGAATTGACTTAATCTCTAGATTGCAAAAGAAATTATATACCCTATGAACACAAATTTTACACACTTTTTTCATACGCGAATGTGGCATGTAAACGTGACATGCTATATTAACAACTTTTAAACATTGCAAACCAACTGCACTAAATGCAGGTTACTCTATTTTCTGTTTTTGTGGCACATGAGTCTACTTTCTTGGGTAGCATTATATTTAATTAAATAGACGAGTTTGGTTTGCTTTTTTGAGTCATCTGCCTCGTGTAATTTGAAAACATGTGTCGAATATGTGTTTGTGTACTAGTAGTGTAAAGGCATACATAAATTTTTTTTTTCAAAAATTATTGATCTCCATCAATTTTACTGTTGAACCCCAATTGTCAGCCAAGAAAAAAGAATACACAAGTGTGTGTCCCTAGAAATCTAGAAAAGAATACACAAGTGTGTTGAACCCCATGTGGGTGTGCCTGTTTGGGTGTCTGCCCCTAGAAATCTACCTACCTATTTGTAAATAAAGAACCAGCGCTTTTTATTTCAATGATCGGGGTGCTTGAATCAATTTATGTGCACCTTAACTAATTTTTTTTTTGGTTCAATCAAAGACAAATTATTCACGCTGGGATTAGAGAATTCATGAGGGATAAACTTCTCATGATTTGATTCCAATAAATTGTCAATATTCAAACTCAGGACATCTAAATTTATAGTTCGTTTTTGTTACTACATGAACTACTATTAAAGTTTTTTCTCGGGCCCTTTCAGTTGGACAATTAACATATTCTTAGCAAAAGGATTGAAAGAACATTTTAATTAAAAAAACTAAGCAACTTATTTTTCTCCACATTAACTTCTGGGTTTTGGGATTCATATTTTGTCTGTTACACTTTGTCTCAATTATGAATCCGCTATAATAAATTCAATTGATATCCTATAAATTGTCATCAATATATTTTGGACGATCTAATTTGTTTTTAGGAAATTAAAAGATAGTCTAGTAGAAGGGATTCACTCCTATTTTAGGCAGTGATTGGGAAAGGTGCAAAAAGGACTATAAGTTTTGGAAATTTGTAGCAATGTCTAGTCATGCGACTTGAATAATTAGTAAAGGTGCATGTAAATTGGCTCAAACACCCTAATCGTAATACTTAAAAAAAAAAAAAAAAAAGGGACGTAGGTACTCTTCACACTTGGTTCCAATTTGATGCAATAGAATGGAAGAGGCTTTTCTGGACCAAACTATGGGCTTAACTACAACTAAAAATGGCAAAAAAAAGGGTGTAATGTAAATGCCAAAATAAATCTAACCCGTCAATGTCACATACCCGCTGTACCAAACCAAGTGTCGATGATGGTAAGATGTTAGTTGCTTTTGGAGTGCATTGAACAATCAAATTGAACTCCCGTTGAACATGAGAAACATGGGGCATATAATTAGAGCTGAAATGCCTTAATACAATCCCAATCTGACACAAAATGATTAATTATACAAGTACATTTAGTCTTAATGAATTTGTGTCATGACTGCTATGACTAAATAGACTTATTTAAGAAATAAGTGTTTTTTTTGAACTGATTTAAGAAATAAGTTAACATGAATCTGACCAAACACAATATAAATCCAACCACATTTGATTATGCATGACTTAAGGATGACACAGCTCCAATTAAATATGACTACATGTAGGTCGAAATGTGGGTAAGTAAATTATTGATGTGACAATGACGTGTTAGCCTTACGATTGCCACAATCGTTTTTATCTGGTTGCCTTTCCTACCGAGATGCATTAAGAAAGGGCTGGTTTCGGCCTGCACTTAACCAATGCATTCCACTGATGCTTCAGTTATATAAGCACAGCATCACAATCATTCCAAAGAGAATACACATAAATTGGACAATTTTTAACGAGTAAGAGAAAAAAAAAATTCTTCACTCTACTACAAGAATTAGTCTTTTAAGACAATTTTTTTTGCAACGACGGTGCTCATTGTCACAAAAAAACGTGTTTTGAAGATTTTTTTTTCGTGTAGTAGTAATACTGATGATACTTCAAACAAACCCTAACTGTGAGTTCAAGAAAGGAGATCAGATCAGGAGGTCAGAAAAGATACGGAGAACTCAGAGAACCAAGGGTAGAGCTACCCTTGGGGAGGTCGTAGCAGAACCGACTAGGAAACAGCTGGGTGACTGAGAAAATTGAGCCCAATGCATGAAACTCTCAACCAACCAAGATTCTCTTCTAAAATCAAGGAGGAGCCCATGAATAATTGACAAAGATCTCGGCTGAAATCTCACAGAATAGAGAGCAGTCTTATAAATACTATGTAACGCCTCATCAAGAAGAAGGCCCCTAGAAAAAATCCTAATTAGATCATGTATTGTACTGTAATACATTCGAGTAATCAAGAGTAAAAATAAAGGAGCAAGAACCTCCATTAGAGAGTGGGTTAACCGAGTTCCAGAACTGGTAAATCATTATATTTTTACTGTGTAAATTCTCTTACCCTCTAAGAAACACTTCATCTCTATCATTATGAAGTTGACAATCTAGATTCACTTTTGATCCCATGTACTCTGTTCAACCGCGTTAGTTTGCACCATCAAATACTATCATAGATTAAATACCATTTGAGACGGCCATTGCGGCCACAAACACGTGCTGGTGGGAATGAGCCTTACTGCTCGGTCACTCGCTCACCTCTTCACCCATTTCATGCTGGTAATATTGACCATAAAAGGGTATCTATACTGTCAAGTGTCAAAGCACATTTAAAATACTGCATGTTAGTTATGGGCTATATATAACGTCATGTTCATTCTTAGTTTGTCAACAGACGATGGCAGCTAAGAGCAGCTTGTTAGCAACACATCACTTTTAAGTGGATGCATGTCAACAAGTAGTGAACGCCATATTGGCATCTAAGAGTAGCCAAAATGGCGACAACACAGTTCATTGTTGAATTGATATATGATTGAGGTTCCTCAACATGTGTTTTCGCCAAAAATAGAACGGCTATACACAAATATATAACCACAAGAAGCAAAGGGAAAAACCAAAGCTAATGAATGATTGATGTAAGTGCAAACCTACTTCCATTCCTTTGACTGCGGTTAGTTGCCATCGTTTCGGTTCAATGTGAAACGGAATTGGATCTTTTGTAATATACTTTTTTTTCAATTTTTTACAATGATAGATCATTTGTCCTGGATTTAATTGATACTTATTTTACATAAGTTTTACTTTTGTCAATACAAAATGAGTGATCAGTTGTTGAGTGAAATTTACAATAGAAAAAATCTAAATGCAAATGTATTTTACCTCCTCACAAAAACGGCAGTATTGCATCATAAGATAGAGATAAGTTCCGCAGCCAATTCTCACATCGTTTTTATGAGACTGACTAATACTACAGTCTCATTTTTATGAGACTGATTAAATTAGTATTGAGTGAAGATCAATTGTTTGTCATATGGTATCGCCAAGTTTAGTGAACAAATCCACGTTTTTAGGTCATGTTATTCTCTAGACAAATGTTGTTCAAAGTCATATCGATATAACCCATACAAACTGCTTTTAATTAGTATAGGGGCCAACGACTATTGGGATTGGCCGGACATTCGCAAATGAGTATGGTTATATCTAGGTCATACATACAAGTACCAAGTTATCTGAGGAGAAATCTTTATAGTTGTATGTAGTTTGTTGTGACCTATTTCTTAGGATGCGAGGGTGGTCTAGTTGCCTTTGTTAAATTGTAAAATAAAGGCATAGTCTTCTAGCATTTTGGGATTTGAGAACTGAGAGTGGTAGGCCTCTTAGTTTCCGAGGAAATGTTACCTTCGTAGAATTGGTTTTCTTGAGTGTCTCACTTGTAACATACCTTGAGAAGGCTTCGGGTCTGCCTTGAACAACAATGGTAATCAAGTTTTTTTGACCAATTTAAAAAAGATTTTCACTGATAAAGAAAAAAGTTTTTTGGCATTAAAGTCCAGCTGGCCCTCCGGTGACAAACTCTGATGGGTTCACAGGAAAGTTCTCAAATAATATTAGGATTTTACATCATATAGACAAGAATCATATTGATACTTCTCTCTATATTATAAGAATTAATTTAATACGAAGAGGGTTTTACTTTCTTATAATTTTGAATTATTTTAAAAAAATGCATTGTCCTTCTCCGATTGAATTTCAACATGCTACCTATATCACTATATCTAATTTTTTGATATCTACTCTGCATTTAAATTTATTCGCGTCTTTATCAACTATTTCACATTTGAACTCTTTTAAAATATCAATTTTTGGCATTAATAAAAAATTTTATAATAATAATAATAAAAAGTAATAATAAGAGTAACGGTGAAAAAAAATATTACAAGCGGGGCGGCCCTGCTTTATTCCATGCTAATGAGTTGTTAGAGGCGGTCGGGTAATGATCATTTTACAAGGACTATTCCTGAGTGTTCAGTTGTGAAGTCCAAAGGGCACGATTGAATGGTAGCACAGTGAAAGGGTTGTGGTGGGTTCCAATTTAATGTACAAAAGATAAGTCACCAAGAAGGTTTCTGGCTATAAAATACCTTCTAGGGTTAGGGTTTTCTGTGAACCAAAATGAACTAGTTCTCTCTTTCTCTCACTCCCTCCCTCTCCCCCTTTTGGGTAACTGAATAACTTTTTGGTACAATCTTCAAAAGGATTGAATTGGAAAGGAAGACATGAGGACTCGTCAAGCAGTCTCGAAGAGAAATGAAGCTTCAAAGAGTTCTACTAATTCATCTTTCACCATTAGGAGTGTAAGGTATGCAGAGTGCCAGAAGAATCACGCTGCGAGCATCGGAGGATACGCCGTTGATGGATGCAGAGAGTTTATGGCGAATGGGGAGGAGGGAACAGCAGGTGCACTTACTTGTGCAGCATGCGGCTGCCATAGGAACTACCATAGAAGGGTGGTGGAAACTGAGGTGGTTTCCGAGTGCTCGTCGCCTTCTTCACGTGGGACATATATAGAGTAAGCAGTGATTAAGCACAAGAATGCTTGTGTGTGTGTGTGCGTGTCTGTGTATATATGCCTTTGAGTGTCAGCGCATGTGGAGGTTCATGTATTAACTAGACTTGGTCCCCTATTGTATTTTATGTTTTCTTCCTGTGAATTGAGATTCTCGCAATAATTTCTGTATAATTGATGGATATGATTAATGTTTCTGTAAGTTGATCATATACTAAGAAGGACGATGAAATCTGTTCTTTTTATGAAGAGACATGCTGATCAAAGAACGTTAATTTGTATTTTGGAGAATCCTATATAAACTGGTTTTTCTCGATTTATTGCATAAACGTTAATTTTCATTTAACCTTTTCTTTTTCAGCTGTCTGTTTAGAATGATATAATGAATCTGGAAGCTATCTGTTATTCAGTAGGTGGTCTACTAAGGTGGAATATGAATCAGATGATTGAGAATAGGGATATTATGGTGTAATTTCATGATACGACTATCCTGATATTATTGTATGGTGAAAATAAAAGGGAAGTCCTTAACTAAAAAAGAAGTACAAAGAGAAAGGGTAAAAGGAAGGCTTCTGTTGTCCAAGAGCTGATGATGAAGCAATATTTCATGTACTATCCTATCTGATGCTAGTTAGTTATGCCTTCCAAATTTGACATATGTGTCCCATTTATCAAGGGTTCTGGCCCCTCATATCTAATCATGCTGGTTGTTATGATGGAAGTGTTACATAATTCTGTCATTAAAAAGGTGATTAAAGCTTAAACTGGAAGCCCACTCCACTTCTCTTGGTTGATATCAGTTCTTTTTCTTTAGGTGAGTCAGTGGAATTGATTTGTTTAGATTTGAATAGCTTTTAATGACGTCCTTAAAAAGGTGATTGAAGCTAAAGCTTAAACTGGAAACACACTGAACCTTCTCTGTTTGATATCAGCTCTTTTGCTCAGCCAATGGCATTGATTTCTGAAGATTCGTTACTTTGTTAATGTGGTTTACATTCATCGCAATCCCCAATATGTTTTTCTAGTCGGTATAAACTGACTTCATAGACAAATAAGTTAGATACACAATATATAATGTTCAAGACATGTTGACGGCTTTGTAAAGTATATTCACAAAAGAGATGGTCAAGGTAGCAAACTATTTAATCTAAAAAATAATACTCTTCTAACGCGAAAGACTAGTTCATCGTGAAATGGTTAGATATATTTCATGTGCACTTGAGAAGCAGAAAGTGCTGGAGTTAGGTACCGAGTATGGAGGGAGCAATCGTTTAGGTATATGTTAATTTGAATCAGGTGGATGTCAAATCTACAATAAAACAAGTGCATGTTTTGGAGCATGAATAATTTCTGTATCAGAGCAAGAACAGCTTTCAGACCACTGAGGGAGATAGCACTGCATATGGTAATAGGTGAAGTACCTAGAAGTGGCCGAGCTTCGACTACAGCTAGCAGTATTTTTCTGAAAAATAACAATCATACATATCCTTTCCATGACCCAAAAAATACAGAAAAAGAACTACTTTTGAGCTTTTAATTGAAAAACGAAGCTGGTTGTCTGTTAAGAAGTCAAACATTGTTTTAATAGTACTGGCCTTGGATCGATGGAGACTGATTTTGTTAATTTTTTAATAGAATTGTGACATTCCTCCAACTGTATCTGAAGTCCATGGTAGCCCATTCTATCGGCATTGACACATTGATAGACCCGTCTCTTTGGCTATTCTAGAGTATCAAATAACTTATTGCTATTCTCATACTTACTTCCAATGCCTTATAGATCGCCTCTTCCATAAATCAAACTCATGACGTGTAATATCAAGGGTAAAAAACATATGAAATAATAATATTAATAATTTTTCTATATCTATATTTATATTACTTATAAATGTCAGTATGTGTGAAAAATATTTGATTTTCTATTTCACTTTTATTTATTACTATAAAGCTAATTATACCATATATTTTCCTGTCTTTCATACCTATTTGACTTCCAAAATATTAGTTAGATGAACTTTATCTCTAAGACTTGGCATATAAACTTTATCAAAATACTACCTAGATAAACTTTATCAAAATATTACCTAGATAATTCTATTTCTATAACTTAATGGATAAACTTTATCCCTATGACAGTACATTCTTTCTTTTCCATTAAATTATACAAACTCTACGGGTCCGTTTGGTTAGCAAGAAAAATATGATGGAAAGTGAAAGTCGTATAAAATGAAGTAAAAGAAAAGAAAGTAATAGAAAATATATTTTCATGCATGTATTTGGTTAGCATGAAAAATTTTTAAGAAAATTTTAAAACATTCTCATTCTATTGTTTGAAAAAAAAAATTTATAAGAAATTTTTTTTAATTGTCTAAATTATCCTTAAGTATTTTAACTCGGTTTAAAAAAGAAAAACATATTTTTATTATTCAAATTTTAAAAAAATTGGCTCCTAACCTAATTCAAGAACAAAGGTCGACTCGAATCTTAATCTCTAGATCAAATTATATGATTAATCTAATTTGTACAATTTTTTTTAAAATTAATAACTAATTGAATATTTTAATAAAAATAAGGATAAAATAGAAAGTTAAGTTATTGAATACAACTTTCTTGCTTTTTCTTGTGTATTTTGGAAGAAAAAAAATGTTAGTTAGATGTGAGAAAATCTAAACATGAGAAAAAATTATTTTTTCTATTATTTTTTATTTCATGCTAAACAAACACATGTAAAATTTAATAATTTTTTCTCTCTTGTATTTTCTTGCTAAACAAACGGATTCTACTAGAATTCTAATACCATATATTGGTAATTTTTAGGTGATACATATACATATATTTTTTTTGTCTTTCCTATTTATTAGATTTCTAAAAAATCTAATAAGTAGAAACTATGCAGACATTTATTGAGACCAACAATCAATCCAATAATAAATAAATTAAATCCAAATAAAACCTGAAATGAAGAAAAAATAGCTTGAAAGTCAAAAGCATGACCCATTAATAAAGAAGGTGTCACATAAAAATTATACAGAAACTACTTAAGACATGATTTGCTTCTTTTTTTCCTTTTTAATCATTTACACAGAAATTTTTTGAAGATTATATTAACAAGTCTAGGAGAACAGTATATAGAAACGTGAATCATGAACGAAAAAATTCTCCACAAGAAATCATAGACAGGACTTCAAGGATCACAAATGTGGTTAACACAAAAATGCCTAACATAACATGACAAACACCACGTAAAAAATTAATTAACAGAATCCAAAAAAAAAATTACTACAGAAAAAACATACTATCACTCTAAAAGCACTTATGAATTAGAAATGACTAAAATTACAATTTACAGAGTTCATATAAACAAATTCATTTAATAAAAAATTTTTCATGATCAATGAATGAGCAAGAATATAAAATTAACTTATAGCCAAACAATCTCAAACCTACTTGTTAAATTTTGTAAAAGAGCGATTGAAATCGATTCAAACCTTAATACTCTGTAATCAAATTTATTAAACTTAATTTTTCATTACTCATATTCTATTATAGTATTATAAACAAAAATTGTATGTTCTAAAAATTTGTTATTCTAGATAATTAAAGTTAGGAACCACACCAAAAAATAAAAAACATTAATGTACTATGTACCATATTTTTGAGTATTTTTATTATTTATTGGCTGAAATTTATCAAATTTTGAGGTTAAAAGATTAAGTGCATTTTTTCTTGGTATTTTAATTATTTACTTACCTTTACAAAAAATATTTCAATTTTATTATTCATCAACGTTGTATTTCAAATAAATTTAATAACAAATAAATGAGCTAAATTTTTTTCATGTCATGTGTGCATTACTAGTAAAAATAAAAGTAAATAAGTTGAGTTTGAAAAGTTATAGATTTTTGTTTGGCTTGGGATCTATCCTTATGGGCTTATGAATATGATTTGAAAATTAGTGGAGATAATTCCATTTCTGGTTTAGAGAAAAATATCAGATAATTATAGAGACTTAGTTGGATAGAGTTTTAGCATTATAGAATTAGTTGTACACTAATTATTTATTGCTAAGGGGACATTAGTGTTATTCAGAATAGTTGACTCCTACACTTTATATTTAATTGAGTTCTCTTGTTATTCTATATATATATATATATATATATTCTCTTTTCGTAGTAATATATACACTGCTACACACATGTTAGAATAAGAGAAAAGCGGGAGAGTCTAGGGTTTCAAGTAAAGAAAAACGAAGAGATTTAGAGAAGAAGGAAGAAAACAAAAACATTTGATCGTGTCAAGATTAGTCTTCATATTGAAATTAAATTATGTATTTAATCATTATATGTACATATATATAAGTTTGTAGTCTATTATATATTGCAAGTAATCCATATAGATAAGTTTATAGGGTTGAAATATATGAATTTAAATATAATATGGTGGATATTTGTATTAAGAAGATATTAGAAAAATGGGGAGAAAGAAGAAAACGTTGAGCATGGAATCTGGAATTCGTAAGGTTGAAGAAGATAGAAATTTTAAAATCATGGAAACCTCCCCTTTAGTTTTAAATAGATTTGTTTTGACCCTTACACTTTTATAAACTCAATTTTGACCGCCATGAAACTTGGTAATTTATAGAATTGACCCAATATGTTTAAAACAAATATTTTCATTTCAAAACAACCCATTGAGTTTTGAAAATTTTCTGAAATTTTGAAACGATCCTAAAAATTTTGATTAAGTGTTTAAAAATCAATGGTTACTCTAATAAATCAAATCGAGGTTGTATTCTCAAAAAATGGGTCTCTAGAGCCTTAAATACTATTCTGAAAAATTTATGGTAGTCCCGAAAACAAAAAATTTGTTTTTCAAAGAAATTAAACTTTGACCCCAAAAGTTTCAAAAATTATGATTTGACCCCAAAACTTTAGAAACTTTTTATAAACTTCCCAGATTACTTCCATATCCTATTAGCTCACATTAAAAATATTATTTCTATGTAAATGATATATAAAATATATATCAATGGGTAAGAAGTATAAAAATTAAATAATCGCGAAATGACAAAGTTAGGAATATGGATTGATTGTTATATGTTATTTTGGATTACGTGGTGATTGCATTGAGGTTGGAAAAGAGTGCTTTAAATTGGATTTTGGGAATCAAGGTGAGTAGTTTTTTACTTCTTTTGGGAGAATTTTCTTTACTAAATGTGTGAGTGCGTGTATGTGAATTTTTCATATATGTGTTGATGTTTGGAGTTGCAGTTTTACAATTGTAAACTGTTATACATGTAAATTTTGAAAAACTTGTGGGATGATTTTATATCATTGCTTTGATGATGAAAGAAAAATTTTGTGTGCATTAACACTAAAACTACAGTTTTGGTGTGTGTAAAAATCATGTTTATGAGACAGGGACTGGGTTACCAAGTCTAAATGGTAACAAAATTATATACGGCATGCTCGGTATAGGAATGTGTACATAAGGGCCAATTATCAGGCTAGTGATGACAAGAGATGGGGTCAGTTACCAGGCTAATAGTAACAAGAGACAAGACCAGTCATCAAGCTAATGATAACAAGAGATGAGGTCAGTTAGCAGGCTAGTGATAACAAACATAATTTGACAAATGTATTTGAAACTGAATGTAAGTGTGAATGTTTTGAGTTATAAATGTCTTTTTATTTGTAAAGTTTTTGTAAAAATGAGTGGCGTTTTGAATTATAAATGTTTTTTCATTTATAAAATTATTTATGATTATGAGATCATTTTTTTTAAGGATTATGTGAGACGGGTTGGGGTACAATTTGTTGCACTTATATGCATCAAAGTTTATTTTTGTATATAAATTGTGAGATTTATTGTCACACCTCATTAGAGGTGGTTGTTATTCATAAGTCATTGTGCTCATCCAAACATTTAATATTTTTTCAGATAAGGACCAGGGGAGGAGTAAGTCGACGGACGGACAAGGGATT